GGAAAGAATGGGAGGGTATAGATGAAGTCAAGCCCAGCCCTGGTTGGCTTTGGCTTGGATTCTTCAGAAAGGAGGGGTCTTTTCAATCTGCACAAAGATGCACACGGTCTAGCCCTGACTTCAGGAAGAAGGAGGCTCTTTGTTCCCAAATCAGAGTTCTGAATCTCCCATCTGTTTGTTGTTTGCCATATTCCCTTTCATTGGCAGGTGACAACATTACTGTCAACACTCAAAACCTCCAGAACATTCACTTCTATTCTCCAGCCTCACCGCTCCACCCCACCCCACCTCTCTCTTGGCATCTGCATCCATCTAACTTACTGCTTTTCATATGCCTCGATCTAGGGCAGAGTTTCTCAGATCATTCTGACCTCAACCCGCAGTAAAAAAAAAAAAAAAAATGCATTCCATATCATGACCCACACACGCGTATATATAAAGAGCCCAAAGTATTCGCGAAAGGTCTATTTCATTTTTTAAAAAAACTTATTTTGACCCACGAAATTGGTTTCACTCCTTAGCGAGTCTTGACCAAACACTCTGAAAAGCACTGTTAGGACATAGCTGCATAAAATGAGGCCCTTACAGCTTCCTAGAGGCTGTGCCCCCGCCCCCACCAAAGCTACTGAATCCGAATCTGCATATCAACAAGGCTCCCGGGAGACTCAGGTGCGCCTGAGCCGCCCTGGTCTAGGAAAGCAGGAAGCCGCACTGTTAGAATTGTATACATGAAAATAAAGTGCCCCGGGGACTCTCTATAGGTGAAGGATGTGAACTTAAGCAGCAGCACGAACATCTGCTGGAATTCCCCCAACGGCCTTTTCCTTGCTTTACAAGGCCAGGGAGTTGCAGAGATGTGTCATCCCTCTGCCCACAACATCTGAAAATCGCAGGCAGTGCTTTATGGTCTCTTCCCATGGCTTAGTCACACCTAGGAGCTTTGAAAGTCAATTTCAAAATGCAGAGACCTCAGTTCCTCTGCATCCAACAGTGGCAAGTTCACAGAGCTTTTTGTGCCAGGGAATGAGCTCCAGGAAAACTCAGAGAGTGAGGACCAAGAACTAAGTCTGGGGTGTCAGGCCCCATCTGGCCATTAGCTGCACAGATGACTTTCTCGGGTGGAGTCTCAGTGTCTCTGTCATCAAATGCGGCTGTGCTGGGGACCATCTCTAAACTGCCTCTTCTCAAAATCCCCTGAGCTGTCCCTGGAGGTTGCATCATCTCCTCCCAGACTCCCTCCCCCGGGACCTCAGCCTGGCTCCTGCAAGTGGTCCCAGGGTCTGTACTTCCTTCAGAGTTCCTGCCTCACCCTGGCCTTGGGTAACCCTCGTGCATGGAGACTGGGGGGAGGGACAATGTGGATCTTTTTTGGCTCTCCACCTCCAGAGAAGGAAGCATCATTGTGAATCTCCTTTTGTGAGTGCAGGGCACCATGCTGGAGCCTCGTGGATCCAGCCCCTCCGTCCCAGCCCACGTCCTGGGACTAAACAGGACAGTCTCCTCAGAATGGACTTTGGACTGCTCTACTGCATATCTTTGTCAGGCAAATAAACACAGAAACGTAAGCTTCACAGGGAAGTTGTTGGCATGTTCCACTTGTGGTTAACTCAAAAAGCTAAGCAAGATGTGTTTTGTTTGTTCACCTTCCTGCTGAGGCAAATCACCCTGATGATTAGAATAGAAGCCAGAGGTGGAGGAGGGAATGAAGTGGGCAACTGAGGATAAATGTCAGAGAGATGCCCAGCAATGGAAACCCAATTTCAAGAAAGAGGGATAACATCATCCCAGCCATCTGAAAGGTCAACCCCTCATTATGTGTCAGCAGTTTGCTTATTTGGGATGTTGTTGACAGGAAAATGAGTCATTTAGTGTATCCTATCTTTTAAGACTGTTAGATATTTACTAAAGGCCAGAACTGGGTTACCTGAATGTTTTCAGAAGTAAATATGAGTCATTAAATCTAAGATGAGAAGTATAGAAGACGCTGCTGGGGGCCCTTGGCTCTCACCTCTACTCTCTGAAGGCCACCAAATGCCGAATGTCAGCACCTGACTCTGCACCTGACTTAGCCAATGCAAAGGGCAACTTGGGAAGCTGGAGAGGAATGGGAAAGTGGGGATGAAGCCAAACCAAGCCCTGGTTGGGTTTGGCTCAGCTTCTCCCCAGAGGAGCGAGGGGTCTTTTCAATTTGCAATGAAGTCAATGGAAGCAGCCTCAGCCCATCATGGATGGGAAGTGGGCAGATGAAGAACCTGCTTCCTTACCCCTGGGCTGGGAGGACTCAGGGTGTGCTCTCACTGCCCCCCAGAGGTCCCCACTGGGAAGGAGCTCCAGTTGCCCACAGTGCTACAAATCAAAGTTCTTTTTTTTTTTTTAAGATTTTATTTATTTATTTATTTATTTAGAGCCTGCTTCCAAGTCGGGGAAGGGGCAGAGGGAGAGGGAGAGAGAGTCCCAAGCAGACTCTGCACTGAGCATAGAGCCCAACACGGGGCCAGATCCCACAACCCTGCAGTCATGACCTGAGCTGAAACTGAGTCAGACATAACCCACTGAGCCACCCACAAGCCCCTACAATTTGAATTTAAGTTAGATTTCCTTCTCTCCTCTGTGGAGAAGTATTTCAGGGTCTGTTTCTGGAGAAATCTAACCAAAGGCAATAGGATTAGTACCTCAGGAGTTTTAAATAGATCACATGACCCTGCACCCTGAGTTGAGTAACCAGGGAATGGGCTGGCTGAAGAGGAAAGGAAGTTCTTGTCGCTAGAAATGTGCAGGAGGACCTGGTAACCATCTCAGAGGGGCCCCATCAAAGGGGGCTTCGAAACATTAAAAGGCTTGCATAACTATTTACCAAGGTGATGACTGCATTTTCTTAATCCCCACTCCTCCTCCTGTACTCTCTTACCTGGTAACCTTGAGCTAGGCACCCAGAGCCAGGGAGGTGACTGAAGGTTACTTGACCTTGGGCAGAACACAGTCTTCTGGCCCTCAATTTCCTTATTTGGAATACAAGTGAGTTACTCAAGGCAACATCTAGGGTCTCTACTAGTGTGGACATTCTAGGACCTGGTGTGCCAATTATGGGAGTGGTCTTTGAATATAGGGGAGGCCATAGGAGGTAATCTAAAGGGCCTTTTGGAACCCGCAAAGAATCCTGTCCCTCTATGAGAATCAGTGTCCTCAGCTGCCATAAGATGACATCAAAGGTCCTTCTCAGCAGCAACACTCAGGGTCTTCAGGTCTGTCCCCAAAGTCCCATTTTTCCTCAACACCATGGCTTGGGTTGGGAACAGTGCCCAAATCCTACCCTCCATGTAACTGTTGCCAAATATCTCCTTGGAACAGTCCTGAGCCCCAAGCTATCAGTCAGGTTTGGCATTTGGACAAAACAAAGCAACAGAGGTTCTTTATAGAGCTCCTTGCTCTTCTCCCCAAATCACATTGCTACTTCCCTCCACCATGACTCTGAGGCATGAGGACATCCTTCACGCTCTGTGGTCCTCTCGTATCCATGAGTCCCCATCTTCCCACAGGCTCTGTTCCTCATTAAAAGAGTGCCAGGCTATGGACAGCAGAGGCAGAGGCATTTGGGGGCAACCAGGTCTTCCCAAGGCCTATTAAGTCACACCCAAGATTCTGCTCAATCCTGTCGGTGGCTGAAAAAAGCAGGACAAGGCCAGGAAATCAGAAGGAAATGAAATCAATTAAGCAGTGTTCTAGCCACTGGGTGAGCTGAGCAAGAAGTAGCCTGGATGCTTCCCAACCCAGGTCACATGTACCTGCCCACACCTGTCCAAAGAACCCCACCCAGATTAAGACCTCCCACCGGTGGTCAGCTTGCTGCCTATCCTATGATTCCTATGGCTTAGGAAGTATGTTGAAAACTCTCTTAGAAGATTATCAGCAGGACCAAGGTTTGGCCTTAGCATGGAGAGCCCATGTGCTCTTGGGCATGTCACTTAGCTTTTCCACCTCTCAGCTCTGGCAATTGAAACATAGGCATAGGGTGCCTGGGTGGCTCAGATGGTTGAGCGTCTGCCTTCTGCTCAGGTGGTGATCCCAGGGTCCTGGGATCGAGCCCCACATCAAGCTCCCTGCTCAGCGGGGAACCTGCTTCTCCCTCTCCTGCCTGCTTCTTCCTCTCTCTCTCTGTCAAAAATAAATAAAATCTTTCGAAAAGAAACATAGGCATAAATACATGAGTCTATAGCCTGTTCTCTGGTTATGAGTTCCTTCCGGCAAGAGCATTACTTTGGAAAATGAAATTAAAAGATATGGCCAGTCTGTTTCCTGAAGCTGTCTTTGGGTGGATTTGATTATTCTACATATTCTTATGCTTCCCTGCCACTTCCCAATTTTTGACAATAAGCACATGTTACTTTTGTAACAATAACAATTAAACATAATTATTTAAAAGAGAGTTCTACATACATACAATTGTTGTTCACTGTTTAACTCCATCTGGCTTCCTCATTGGAAGGAGTGTTCCCAACTCCTTGTCTTTAGACTGGAAGAGACCCCATAGCTCACTTGATTCCAACCCTCATCTTACTAATGAGGAGACTGCCCACTCTGCCCTAACCCTTGGCCATGGCAGCTGCATTCCCCACAGTGAGAATTCACATTTCCCTCCTCTGACTTCCTCACCAAGGAAAAGTTAAAGAAAACCCAGCAAAGAAATAGCAGATGGAGGGAAGGCAGTTCCTCAGGTAAGAAGTTTATGTGTCATATTTATGTCCTTTAAAAACATCAGCCTGGGGCACCTGGGGTGGCTCAGTCGGTTAAGCGTCAACTCTTGGTTTCAGCTCAGATCATGATCTCAGGCTCATAAGATTGAGCCCCGAGTCGGGCTCCATGCTCAGTGGAGAATCTGCTTGAGATTCTCTCTCTCCCTCTGCCTCTCCCCACCACTCTCTCTCTCTCTCAAATAAATAAACACATCTTTAAAAAAAATAATAAAAATAAAAACATCAGCCTTTCTCCTCCTCTCTACTCACGGAGTCTTCCTGGCAGCTTGCAGATTCCCCCTTCACCCAGGAAGTTCATTCTAGCTTCACATCTAGCCTGGGTGCCTGGGGGTGGTGTGGCTGCCTCAGGCCTCACAGAAGAGCTGGCCAATGCTCCCTCCTAGAAAGAGGAAAAACCAGGGCAGTCAAAGACAAGACTTCTTGGTGAAGGCTCAGTCATCCTTAAATGTATTAAGAATTTTTCTCAAAGGGAAAGAGCATCCATCTCTGTGGGGCACCTGGGTGGTTCAGTTGGTTGGGTGTCCGCCTTTGGCTCATGATCTTGGGGTCCTGGGATCAAGTCCCGCATCAGGCTCCCTGCTCTGCGGGAAGCCTGCTTCTCCCTCTCCCTCTGCTTTTCCCCACTGCTCATACTCTCTCTCTCAAATAAATAAGAAATTTCTTTAAAAATTTTTTTTAAAAAAGGTAGGAACCGAGTATGTCTTCAGCTTGGTACCTTCAACATTTTGTACAGAGTGAACACTTGATAAATTTCATCTTTCTGATTCAAGTTTTTCATGCGTGTGCCTAACCAACCAGAAGGCTCCCCGGCCAAGATTTGACTTGTAAGCTAGAAATCTGAGAGCCTAGGAATACTCACTGGGACCTTGGTGAGAGGACAGAGGGAACCTGAGGGGCCAGGGTAAAAAGACTTTCAGTCAAAAATAAATAAGTAAATGCTGTTTTCAAGGGAGAAAAAGGAAGGATACATTTCTGAATTCCAAGGTCCCACCAAGGGAAGCCTGTATCTTTACAATTTTACAACCACCTTAGCCCCAGAGGTGATATGGTTCATCCATCAGGAAGGGGAGCTGAAAAAAGTGACAGGATTTTGTAGAAACAGGAGTAACCTTGGGGCTTATGCCCAACGACAGGTGCCAGCTGGTGAAAAGTAAAAGTGAAACCAGTCCCAGTAAGTCATTTTCTCAAACTAGAATCTTCAAGAGCATTACATTCATCTCCTGATGTCCGAGGAGGGCAGCCTGCAGTGAAAGACTGTGGATCTGGAGCTGTCAAAGCAGAGGAGGATTTAACACCTTTTGGGGTAGTTCTCACTGCTGGCCCCCACCACACACACACCCCCCCCCTTGGTGCTATTTCCCAGGTAACCCAGCTTCAGAGGCTGCCGCCTGGAAGCAGGACGTGCCAAGCTGGAGAAGGGTCTAAGATCTCACACTTGCAGGAAGCCCCTTGTGGACTCTTCTACCCTCTTCCAAGCTTGAGGACCGGCCAATTCCGGGGCTTTAACTGCCTGGGAAATGCCAGCCCCGGAGCTACTGAGAGTTAGAGCCCTGGGCTTCAGCCTGAAAGCCAGGGGGAGGTCTGATAAAATATGGATTTGGATCTGAATCTTCTTCTGGAGAGAGGAGGTGGAGAAAGGCTTTGGAGGTGGGAAGGGGGCCCTGCTCTGGGGCGGTTCTGAGGCTTCTGGAGAAATACGGCAAATGGAGAGGGACTGCTAAGGGGTGGGGGCCCCCTCTCCAGTGGCGTTTGCCAGCGGTTCGGGTCTGGTTTGCGCAGGAACTTCCAGGGACGTCACAACTGGTTGATGTAGGGGTGAAGAGGAGGTAAGGAGGAGCAGTATATAACACGGGGGCCGGGGTGGGGGGGTGTCGGAAGAGAGACAGTGAGGCTGGAGGTGAGTGAGGAGGAAGGGCCGGTGAGGGATGGATGGTGAGGTTTGGGAATGTGTAGGAAAGTGAGATTCCAGCAAGGAAAAGTTCTGATAACATGGGTACGTTCACGAGGTGGTGGAGAAGGGATGGGGGGGCCGAGGCTCCGCGTGCGCGCGCAGCGGGGTTCCCCCGCCAGGCTCTTACCTGCATTACAGGTGGTGAGAGAGCCACCGGCCGTCAGTCGTGAGCGCTCCACTGGCCCTCCTTCCCTCACCCTTTAACTGGGCCCCCCAAACTGGAAGGTCGCGTGGGAGGAAATCTCTTTCGAGAAGTGCCGGGTAGTGTGCCCTCGGGTTCCCCGGGCCAGCAGGCTCACAGAGCGCTCCGGTAATCGCTATCCTTCCGGGAAACGAAAACGAAAGAGCGGGATCCGACTTCCACTCCCGCCCCGGCGGGCTCTGGGGAGGGCAGGCGCCGGCCCCGGCGGGAGCGCAGCGGCGGGGGCTGTCTGCTCGCCAGCCGGGAGGCGTCGGTCCTGCTCGCAGCCTCCCGCTCTCGGACGGCTCCTCGGGCAGCCTGGCCCTGGCTCCCAGGCGCACGGAGGTGAGATTCTGCGGTATCTGGGGAGCCGAGGGAACCCCTGGTCCTTGGGCTCAGGACAGCAACAGAACAACTTCCTGTCACCCCGTGTGTCTCCGCATTTGGATGGGAGGGACCTTAGGGATGAGGAACCTTCCTGGCCCTGACCCCAACCCGACCTGCCGTTGGGCCCTATGGATGCTCCACCATCCCCGCCGAGCCCCACCATCAGAGCGGCTGCGCTACTCCTCCTGACTTAGACCCTAGTACCCTGTGGAGCCTGGCGAGCACCTTTTCCCGGGTCTCTGGCTCCCCCAGGCAAGCCAACACACCTGCACGAAGAAAAGGAGGGAAGCCTTCTGCAGAAACTCCGAAGCTATAGATGCTGTTATAAAGACGGCTTAGCACTGATACATCATGAGCTCCTAGAAACTAGTAAGAACAGGGCCACAAACCCAATAGAAAAATGGGCAACGGATATGAATAGTCAGTCCACATAAAACAAAATGTTGAATAGCCTGGGAACATAGAAGAGGATGCTCAGACTCACTCATTATAAAAGATGTGCAAATAAAAGTTTTTGAGATACCATTTTTTTGCCTGTTATTTTGGCCAAAATTCAAAAGTTTACTAACATAATCTGCTGGAGAGGCTGAGGGGAACAGAGAGAACACTGGGCAACCGCATGGAAGGCAGTAAGATGAAATCTGGCAAAGTTACAAATGCACATAGCCTTCACCCAGCAATCCCACTACCAGAAATATATTCAATAAATCTACCTGCACAGGTCCAAAACATACGTGTTATTGATTTCAGCGTGGCTTATGATAATGACTGATTAGAAACAATCCAGCATCCATTAAAAGGGGGCTGATGAAATAAATCATGATAGATCCATTTAACAGAACACCATGCACAATCTGACAGAGCTCTCTGTGATGATGGCAAGCTCTCCTAGAGGCAGTACAGCATAGCAATTAAGAACCTAGACTCTGGGGCGCCTGGGTGGCTCAGTTGGTTAAGCGACTGCCTTCGGCTCAGGTCATGATCCTGGAGTCCTGGGATCGAGTCCCGCATCGGGCCCCCTGCTCGGCAGCGAGTCTGCTTCTCCCTCTGACCCTCCCCCTCTCATGTGCTCTGTCTCATTCTCTCTCTCTCAAATAAATAAATAAAATCTTTAAAAAAAAAAAAAGAGTCAAAATAAATAAGAAAGATATTTTAGCATCCTTTCCATGCCAGCAAGCCAAAACCTAAAAAATGAAGGAACTGTATAGGCATTGCCTGAGACAAACTGAAAAAATGCGGACCTTTCCCTTTGGAAGGACAAAGGCAATGCTACATAATATAATCAAAGTCTACAAAATGTTGAGCCCATATGAGTGATATGCACAGGTATTGGGATGCCTGGGTGGCACATCTGGTTAGGCATCCAGCTCTTGATTTGGGCTCAGGTCATGATTTCAGGGTCATGAGATTGAACCCTAAGTCCACTCCAGGCTCAGCAAATAGTCTGCTTGTCGCTCTTTTGTCCCCCTCTGCCCCCCACCCCCGCTCTCCCTCTCAAATAAATAAATAAAATCTTTAAAAAAAAAAAAAGAAATATGCACAGGTATTTCATGCTCAAAAAATAACAATATTTATTTCATTTTTAAAATTATTAATTTTTAAATAACACTCTTCCTACAAAGAACTCAAAATGTATATATAGAACTTATAGTTTATAACCACAAACTTTCTTAATCCTTGTAATACTTCAAAAAGGGGGAAGAGAGGGACGATGAGGTAGACAGAGAGGTAAAAGAACAGGGCACTGCAGATCTGGACACAGGCAAGAGGGGTGGGGCCAACAGCTGGCTGGAGGGCCTGGTACCCCGGGAAGGGCCAGGAGAAAGCACCCATTTCTTTGAGGGTTAGATCCAGTTTCCCTCATGGAAGAAAATGCTTAAGATTTCCTTATAAGGAGCACTGGGACCATCCACAGCACTAGTGTTTTCTAAGTGGCAGGGCCTCCTTGGGCTTTCTCAGCAGGCATTCTCAAACATCTCATAGCTGGTCGCTCTGCACAGACAAACGGCCAGGGAGTCTGCCATTCTCCAACAAAGCAGGCGTGAACTAACACTGATGGGTAAAAAGAGAGGGAGACGGAGAAGGGTCTTCTTCCATCTGTTCCAGTAGGATTCAGGGTTTCTCGGAGGACAGGAGGAAAGCAGAAGTTGGCATTTGCATTCCTTTTACATCAAGTGGTTATTCCAGAGAAAGCGCAGCAACACATGAACTCCTCCAAAGAAAAGCAAGACAAAATGAGCCAGTGCCTCCCTGACTTCCTGTTGAAGATCCTGTTTAACACAAGAGCGAGAGAGAGAGGTTTTAAAAAACAACAGTAGAATAATCCAAAGATAGAAATTCAATATTAAGATTAATTCAGTGAGGGACACCTGGGTGGCTCAGTTGGTTAAGTGTCTGCCTTCAGGTCAGGTCATGATCCCAGGGTCCTGGGATCGAGCCCCGCATCGGGCTCCCTGCTCAGCGGGGAGTCTGCTTCTCCCCAGCCTGCTGCTTCCCCTGCTTGTGCTCTCCCTCTCTCTCTGACAAATAAATAAAATCTTAAGAGAAGAAGGATTAATTCAATGAATGCCACAAACTCCTTGGATTTATGAGTCATATGAGCAGGACAATATCTCCGTCTGTTTTGTAATGGCCACATCCTCCACAAGCCTTGGGAAGTTTTCCTCTGGAGGTGTTTTCCCATCATCTTAACCATCAGCAAATTAGGGCTTCTTTTCAGGGCTGATAATCTCTTCCTCTGGCTTTGCAGAGCACTTCCTTAGTCCTTTCAAAGAAGCAAGACGTTTGCTTTGGGGTTGGAAGAAAGGATAGGACTTAGCTGAGTGGGGGGGGGGGGGTGAATATGAGTGAAGCTGGAGGCGACAAAGAGCACAGCAGGTCTGTGGAGCAGTAAGGAAACACCACTGTTGATCTGCGAACATCAAGAGAAGAGAAGGCTGAGGGTCCAATACAAATGGGTCTCCCCGTCCCTGCCCCTCCTCCTGCGGTCTCTTCTCAACACAGCAGCCTTGGGGGCTGTGAACGGTGCCTCTTCTGCTCAGAGCTCTCCAATGGCTCTGCCTCAGGCCTCCTGGGGACCTCAGGGCCCTGCCTAATCTGCCCCCACCACTGCTCTGACCGTTTCTTTTACTACTTTTTCCCTTACTCAGCCTCAGCCTCACCGCCTGCTTGCTCTTCTTCAAACATGCCAGATCCACTTCTGCCTCAGAGTCTTTGCTTTCCACCTGCCCCCACTGCTCGCCCCCAGATATCCATGCTCCCTCCCATACCTCTGTCAAGGTTTTGCTCAAAAGTCACCCTCTAAGTAAGGCCTTCCCTCCTCTACTTAAAACTCTAAATCCCCCAACACGCCTCACTCCTTTCCTTGCTGTATTTTTCTCCACAATATTTATCAGTGTCTGATAAACTATATACTTTATTTGCTTATAGTTTGTCTCCCTTTTAGAATATCAACTCCATGAGATTGGGAGTATTGTCTCTTTTATTTATTTTTTTTAAAGATTTTATTTATTTATTTGAGAGAAAGAGCACACACACACGAGGAGGGGGGCAGAGGGAGAGGAAGAAGCAGACTCCCTGCTGAGCACAGAACCCGATGGATGCAGGACTTGATCCCAGCACCCTGGGATCATGACCTGAGCCGAAGGCAGCCGCTTCACCGCTGAGCCACCCAGGTGCCCCAGTTTTGTCTCTTTTAATCTCTGCCATATCTCCAGTACTTAAACAGATCCTGACACACAGTAGATGCTCAATAAATATTAGTTGAATAAATGAATGAATAAATGAGTAATAAACCAATAGTAGCAAGCTAAAGAATTTAGGCTTTGTCCTGTCAGCAACTGGGAATCTTTAAAGGATTATTTCCCCTTAAAGTTGATATCAGTTAGGAAAGTTGAATGAACTTCTTCCAGGAAGGTAGATGAGAAAATGTATGGAGCACCAAGTCAGATGCTCATGAGCATGTGATGCTCATCTGATGCTCATTCTTACATATATGTAAATTCCAGTTTTGCCACTTAATTGCTGAGTGACCTTCGGTTACCTAACCTCTCTGAACCTCAACTCCTTCTCCTGAAATACTAATCCACTAATCCATAAAATTATTGAGAGAATTGAATGAAACACGTAAAAGTCTTTCAAAGAGTACCTGGAAGAAATTGTTTAGTAAATGTTAGCTTCCCTCCCCTCTTTCTAACAAACTAAGAAATTCCACATGCATTATTGTACCAGTCAGTGTCCCAGAGGAAACAGATGGCACACTTCAAATTAGGATAAATCAGGGAGAGTTAAATAAAGAGACTATGTACAAAGGTGGGGGACACACGGGGTGGTGCAATTCCCTGGGCTGGTAATGTGTGAGCTGTTGCCACTCCTAGGCCTGTAGGGATGGGGTTGGGGGGAGCACAGTTTCTAGAACCCAGAAGGAGAGAGTCCTATGGAGAAAAAAATCCCAAAGACATATTTAAGATCCTAAAAGTGACGGGAAGACTATTTTAAAACATACTTTAGGGGCGTCTGGGTGGCACAGTTGGTTAAGCATCCAACTCTTGGTTTCAGCTCAGTCGTGATCTTAGGGTTGCAGAATCAGGCCCCATATTAGGCTCTGCACTCAGGGTGGAGTCTGCTTGAGATTCTCTCCCTCTTTCCCTGCCCCTCCCCCTGCCAAATAAATCTTTAAAATATATAATAAAAACAAAACATACTTTATATCTAGGAAAATTACATGCCACAGATGAAAAAGAGAAAGAAAAGACCAGGTCCTTGAA